TCTCCTTATTTCTTTTGTTGTAACTGAATCTTCTAACTTTTTTGTTATCCACCATTTTACCTGTGTATTATCTGTTCTTACAATAAATTTATTATAAACAATATATGGTTCAAATGCTAATAAACACTTATATAATGCAAATAACTCTTTTCTATTTATTTCCCATTTTATTTGTGCTTCTGTATAGGATCCTGAATAATATCTACAATGATGTTCTATTTTTTCTTTGTCATATTTGTATTTTAAAACTCCTCCGTAACTATGATCACTTGAATCTGTTTCAATAATATAAGTAAATGTTTTATTTTCATCAGGAAAATATAGTTTTGGTAATTTCTTACATAAATTCTTAATATTTCTTATATGTTCTTTATCTTTATTGTCGAAATAGTATTCAACATATTTTTTAAGTTTTTTATGTAGTGATTTTAAATGTTCTGCTAATTTTGGTATATATTCTCTTACTTGATTTACTTATCCTAGAAAGGATTGTAATTTCTTTTTTGTATCTATATTTTCATTAATAGTAATTATTTTTTGTACTATATGAGTTTGCATTTTTATTCCATTTCTATCTATTTGTATTCTTAGAAATTCTATCTGTGATTTCATAATTTCTGCTTTCTTTTTACTTAAGCTTATACCTGAGTGTTTAATTATGTGTATATATTTTTCTAATAATCTTATATGTTCATCTTGTGTCTTAGAATATAGTAATATATCATCTATATATACAATACAATTTTCTAACTGGTTAAAACAGTTATCCATAAAATGTTGGTATCTACCTGGTGCATTTTTATATCCAAATGGTATTCATAGAAACCTTGTGGTACTGTGAATGCTGTTAGTTGTTTAGATTCTTCTTCTAATTTTATGTGGTAAAATCATGATTTACAGTCAAATTACTAAAATAATTATATCCTTGTATTTCTCTTATTTTTAGTATTTTGTTTGGTATTGGATAATTGTATGTTTTAGTTTTAGCATTTAAATTATGATAATCTATGACCATTCTACTTTTACCTCTTTTTTGTTCACTATGTTTTATAACTATAAATGCTGGACTTGTATGTTTACTATTGCTTTCTTGTATGTAATTATTTTCTAATAATTCATCTATATGTATTTTAAATTCTTTTAAATCATCAAAGTTATATTTTAATGGTTTCTGTGTTATTATACTATTTTCATCTATTAATTCAATTTTTACTTTTGTCTTATGTTTTTCCCATCCTTGTAATGGATTTTCGCTGTATAATTGTTCTAGTTGTTCATTAATTATTTTAATTTTGTCTATTGTAAATATAATTATTTCTAATTGTGATATTTGTTTCTTATTTATATTTTTCATTTCTTGGTTTATTTTTTCACTTCCTTTTATCCATTCCATAGGTTTTCGTTGTTTATTATTTACTCTTTTTGCTCCTATTTTGTTTCCGCATGGTGTGGTAAACCACCAATGTGTTTTTGTTATTATATGTGGATAAAATCTATCTAAAAATGGCATTCCTAATAACATATCTTTTGTGGTAAATTCAAAATTATACATTTCTTTATTGTTAATATTTTATCCCATATTTGTATTTTTATATTTTTTACTTTATATTTAATCATACTTCCTTCATTATTAAATCATGTTACTACCATAGGTGTTTTTAATTTTTCCCATTTATCTTCTGGTAAGCAATTATATTTACATATATTTGCTTTTGCTCCTGTATCTATCATAGGGGTATAATATCTGTTGTGATATCCTTCTAC